TATATATATATATATATATATATATATATATATATATATGTATATATATATACGCATATGTGTAGTTATTTCTCTCGTTACTTGCTTGCTCATCGTTCAATTCAACTAATGGAAATATAATAATTAGGAATTTTTTTTGTCTAAACGCTCGAACTTCCTTCTCTTCTACAATCTAAATAATAAAAATAAACTTCGCTATACATTTATTCATACGTACTTCAAATGGTTCTACAATACATGCAAGAGTTTCACAGTCTTATGTACACGTACTGTCGAACGCGACAGTACCTTATTCACTTTGGTTTCCTGTTGTGTTTGTTACTTTTATAAATAATGTACATTCGTCAGCCGCAAGATTGTTCCCATTCGGCGGCCGCGTGCACGCGTTTATCGACCGAGCAGGAGAAGAAGCAAACGTATCAGAAGGTAAAACTCGAAAGTAACCTCTCATTTTTCGCGAGTATGTGTCGTTTTCGAAGAGAAGAAAAAAAAAAGAGAGAGAGAGATCTCGAATCGAGAACTACGATCGAGGACGAATGTTCGCGAGGAGAAAAGAAAAAAAAAAAAAAAAGAAGAAAGACAGAACGAAAATACAAGGGCACGAATTAGGAACGATCTTGCGCGTACTAACGAAGTGCACGACATAAAAAGTAAGAAAACGAAAATCACGTGTGATAAATTCTGTGTAATTTGTAAATCGTTTTCATCGTGTGTGCAGAAATTCATGTCTACGACTATCAGACAAAGTACACTGCCATATCCGGAACTGTACACGTGGCAGGGGTGCGGGAAATTTGTCAGCGACTACATCGAGTACGAGCCACTGGACAAAGCACTCAAAATGGTAAGTAGTCAAACGTGTTGTTTTTTCATGAAACATTCTTAACACTTTGTAAGCTAAGCAAAGCTAAGAGAAACCAATGCTAAGAGAGACAATGTTTGTTATATCCACGAAGAAAAATCATACATGTATATATATGTATATATATGTATATATATATACACATATATATATAGAAATATATACACATATATATGTATACATATAAATATCTCAATTTATAATAGATAATTCGTTTTTTTCACGAATGTAACAAACATTGCCTTCTCGTTTTCCCATCTTCTCGACTTTTCTCATTTTGTTTCGTTTGGACCATGTAGTTTCGTGCGAGTCGCGTGCACATACTATTTTATACCTTATTACAATAATAATTATTATTATTTATTATATCGTAAATAACTCGCTAACAGAACAAGAGGTAGAATTGTTCGGAGAGAAGCAGTTCACAATTAAATACCGTACGCGTGAAAGAAACTATATTATGTATAGTTTTTCTTTCTGCATAGCTTTTTTTTTTCATTTTTCATACGCATTCGAAATAACTAGTAAATACCTAAATAATATTATATAAAAAGAAAAAAAACTAAAAGGAAAAAAAATCGCGTTTCTCGACCGTGGATAACGCAGATTCCGCGATCTAGACTCTCCTCGTGTTGCACAGAGGGTACACGCGCGTAACCCTCCGTCTATCGCGTTTGGCTAGGATATACAACGTGTAATAACCTAGTGGAGGGGGATACCCAACGCGCCATTCGATCAGAGTAAGAAAAATTTTGAAAACTCAATATCGCCGTCGAGAGAGAATTTACACTCGCGCATCTCTCTCTTCTTCTTCTTTTTTTTTTTTTTGCTTTTTCATTTTTTCCTTTCCATCATCTAGGAGGAGGAGAGACTCTCGCACTTATACGCTAATTTATAGAGTTTAATCAGTTAACCTCTCTACGAACATCTTAACTTTTTTAATCATAATTATAACAATCCGTTCAAGAATTTGGTATATCCTCTTATGTACAATGATACTAACGGAGAAAGGATCCTGTTGCGATCCATTTTGATTCGATACACACACACATATATATGTGTGTATATATATATATATATATCTAAGATGTCTAAGGTAACTCAAAAATTACGAGCACTAAATGTAAAATAAGATAAAAAGATAGGGGGAAAAATGAAAAAAATACGAAAAAAAAAAAAAATAAGAAGGAACGAACGAGCTTAATTATAAAGGGTGAAAAACACGAAACGCGAGTTTATAATATACTTACGTAAAAATCATACGTCGATTCGTTTAAATTACGTGACGTAAATAATGATAAAGTAGGTCCCCGTTGGACCGAACAGGGATAAAATGATTTCTCCCGCTCGTACTTTTCTCACGCGCACACGGACGCATGCGCGGAATCGGAAACACGAGAATACGAGGTATACGAG